TGAAATCGGTTCATAGTTGGATATAGCTTCCATTAATATTTTCGTCCGATTTTCAGAAAATGGCGCACCAAACTTCCCATGTTTGTCAGATTGACATGAAAATTTTCACAACGTAAAAAATTTAATGACTTAATTGCATTTTGTAGAAGTACAGATATAGTTCATATACATTTCCGACCGACTACGTGTTAATTGGGCTCCAAATATTCAACGGGTGCCCGATTGATATTTGCTTTAAATCGATATACATGATTTTGTTCCATTGTAACAAATGAATGACATATTTATAGATTGGTCTAAGTCTGTTCACATTTAGATACAGATCACATATTTTACTTCATCCAATTTCATGTTAATGGTCCTTCTGTTAGGATGCATCTGTTTAATATACCCAAAGTGTTGGAAGATATCATATAGTCGGCCTCGTCCGACATTACTACCTTCCTTACTGGTTTTTACTTCTTAGACGCAACATAATTTGCACTTGTTTTAAATCCTCCATGAACCGCCTGTTAACGATGCCTTTGTTCCGAATTAAATAGTAATTTCTTTTAAACTGCTTGGTCCCTCGAAAAAAAGACAAAAAATTAACGCGCAATACGCAAAGCTTTTTAATTAAATTTTACCAAAACAAACCCCCAAGAACCACATCAAACGGATGCTATAGTAAAGTTCGCTGGTTGGATGGCTGGCGGTTTGCCTGTTGACAGTGACAAAGGGCCATAATTATCTTCCGTGTTTTTGGTAACAACAAAAAAGTGGGAGATCTTTGTCTATCTTCCTCTCTGTACAGTGTTAGCCATGTGTGAAATGAGTTTATACCGCACATCGCCTTATCTTGTATGAGTATGCGTGTAAGTAAGTGAATGAGGGTGAGCGCGGGAAACCTGCATTAAATAAGATGAACAACAACAAATTATGCTTAAATTTGCAATTTTTATATATACAGACTCATAAATCTACAGGAATTTATGATGCAGCCTTCACGGATACGCATCATTTTAATGAAATGCAAAAGAAAAACACATCACCTCATCCATGTAAAACAAATTGCTAAAGTTTTCTTTGGCGAAGATGGAAAAATAAAACAAAAACATGGAGCGTATGAGATTACCTGCAAGACGAAATTTATTTTCATCATTATTATTGCCATGACTATCTGCGGTATTTGTTCGGCCTCTCTTCATTCGTTTTCACTTCTTTATTGCATTTGGGGGGTGTCAGAAAGATGAAATGTTTTCTCGATAATATTCAGGCATTCTTCTTCCAATTGGAAATTTATTTTCTTTTATTATGATTGACTCGATAAGGCAGGATGAACGTAGTGGTAACTTTTTTCAGGGCGGTGTTATACATTCCGTTTATCAAGAGTGGTATTCAAACAAATCTGAAATGTTACGAAGTTACCCTCTTTCTGCCTACGCCAATGTAGGTCATTATCTGTCCGTGTTGGGGCACATAACATACGAATTTGTATCATTTGAATTGTAATATCGTTTTTCATTTTCTTGGAAATGAAAAATCATTTATCTTCTTACAGTAATAAAATTGTAGCCTTGAAATGCTTATTCGGCAATTTTTATAGGCAACAATGACAATTCATTTCGAAATTGTGGAGATTGGTCGGGGTGTTCTTTTGTTCAGTCACATTTTAAATTAATGCATATTTAGCTCAAATAGTCCTTGAACTAGTCATCAAAAATATTCTTTAAAAAATCCACGCCTCAGCCAGAGCTCCTCAAAAATATTCTTAAAAAATCGACGCCTCAGCTAGACTTCAAAAAATGCACGGCTCAGATATACCTCAACCACCAATTAAGTGGAAAAAGTCCAATGAAATTATTTTTCTTAATGCCCAGTTTCAGTACCCTTCGGTATTATCCTCCTTTTAAAACCATCTTAAAAAAAAAAACTTCGCAAAAAATTTCCAAATATATTTCATAAAGTAACAACAACATAAAAATTCTCATACTGAAGAACGGAATTTAATAATAAATTTCATAAATATTAAAATTTACATATTCCTGTTCTCCTTCTGCTTCTTCTCATTTTTCTTTATGTCCTGTCAGTCTATCATATGTACACATACCATGCAAATAAATCTTCCAAATATAATCGCATTGAACACCAACCCTCATTAAATTTAAAAAAAAATTCTTTGACAATATTGTTGTACGCATTCTGACACATGAGAGGAGTTGGGAGGGGGTGTGTGTTGAGATGAATATTTGCCTAACGGGCATATCAAAGTGATGTGAAGCTTACAAAGAATTTATTTTCTCCTTTTTTCGCAACATAATGTTCTTCTTCATTGCGAAAAGGACTCTTCGTTACGAAAATGGTGTTGGGTAATAAACTTCATCCAATTTTCTTGAAAATTTTTATTTTGTTGTTACTTTCAATTCTTATTTGATATTAAAATTCATATAATAAAGTGGCGGTTTTTTCTTGTGTGTATGTGGAGACTTTTGAGCGAGGGTATGAGTAATTCTTGGGCTAACATAAAGGTGGGGGAAGATGGAAAGGAATGCAAAATGAATTCTCAAGACATTAGGTGCTCACAAGAATGGAAAATTTTAGACATTCGGATAGTAAATAAAGATTTCGGATCTACTTTTAGTTTGCATATAGAAATGTCCTTCCTTCTGGTCCTCTATAGACCCCTCCCTAGTCTGTAGAGACTCCCTAGTCTCCATCTATTCTGGAAATATTCATTGATCTCGTCAAGAAAGACTCCTTGGAGAACTGAATTTTATAAAGATGTTCTGGCCTTCAGCTCTTCTATAAAGACTCTCAGAGTTTCCGCTTGTCCATAAAGACTACCTACACCTCTTCTATAGAAACTTTCTGGCCTTCAGCTCGTCTATACAGACTTTCTGGTTCTCAGCTCGTCTTTTATACTCCCAGGATTTTGGCTCGTCTATAAATACTTCCTGTCCTTCAGCTACTTTATAGAGACTCCTAGGCCTTCAGTTCTTGAATTCAGACTAAATGGCCTTCAGCTCGTCTATAGAGACTCCCTGGCCTTCAGCTACTCTATAAAGACTCCCAGGCCTTCAGCTCGTCTATACAGACTTCCATGGCTGCCTGCACATCGTCTATATTTTTCCTATTCTATCTATAGGATTCTTGGCCATTAGATTGTCTATAATTACTTCCTGGACTTCAGCTCTTCTATAGAGACACCCGGTCATTCAGACTGCCAGGCTTTCAGCTCATCTACTGAGTCACTCTAGCCTTAAATTTTTCTTCAGATAATCCCTTATCTTTAGGACATCATTCAATTCAATTTTTCTATAAATACTCTCTGATCTTTAGCTCGTCTGTAGGAACTTCATGGCCTTTAGCTCCTCTATAGACCCACTCTGATCTCCAGATCATCTAGAAAGACTCTTTGGCCGTTAGTTTGCCTATGAAGACTTTATGACCTTCAGATCTTCTATAGATACTTCCAGACATTCGGCTCGTCTACTTAAAGTTGTTCTGCTATTTTGTAGAGACTTCCACGCCTCCAGTTCTTCTAAGCTCGGTTACAGAGACTTTCTGCCTTTCAACTAGTCCATAAAGACTTCCTGGCCTTCAACTCGTTTTTAAAGACTTCATGAGATTCCCAGGTCTTCAGTTCTTCTATAATTACTCTACTTTGGCCTTGAGTTCTTCTATAGATACTTACTGATCTTCATTTCGTCTGTAGAGACTCCCTGGCTTTCAGATATTCTTTAGAGGTTCCATGGCCCTCAACTCGTCTGTAGCGACTACGTTAAGCTCGTCTATAGGAACTTCCTTCAGATTTACAGTGAATCAGCTTGTCTAACAACCCTTTAGCTGATATATAGCGACTCCCTTTAGCACTTCTATATCGACTCCCTTCAGGTCGTCTACAGAAACCCCTTCAGTTCGCCTATAGAGACCCCTTCAGTTCGTCTATAGAGACCCCTTCAGTTCGTATAGTGCGACCCCCTTAAGGTCGTCCACAGCGACTTATTTCAGGTCGTCAATAGACAACCCTTCAGATCTTCTATAAGGACCTCTTTAAGGTCGCGACTCCATTCAGGCCGTCCATAGGGAATCATTTCAGGTCGTCTATACTGACCTATTCAGGTCGTCTATAGCGACCTCCTTAAGGTCGTTCACAGCGACTTATTTCAGGTCGTCTATAGACACCCCTTCAGATCTATAAGGACCTCTTTTAGGTCGTCCATAGCGACTCATTTCAGGCCCTCCATAGCAACTCATTTCAGATGGTCCAAAGCTACTCATTTCAGGTCATCCTTAGCTACCCCTTTTTGATCGTCCATAGGGACTCCTTTCAGATCTTTTATAGCGAATCCTTTGTGGTCTTCTATAGGGAATTGCTTCAACTCGTATATACAACTTCCTTCAGGTCGTCTATAGCAACTCATTTCAGGTCGTCTATAGATACTTCTTCAGATCTTCTATAGCGACCCCTGCAGGTGTTATGGACGACCTACAGGAAGTCGGTATAGACGATTTGAAAAAATTTCTAATGAACCTGACTCTCTTTTCAGGTCGTCCATAGGGAGTCATTTTATATCGTCTATAAGGAAGCCTTCAGATCTTCTATAGCGAATCCGTTCAAGACGTCAATATAGAGTCTCCTTTCATGCCGCCCATAGCGATCCACTGCAGTTCGTCCATAGAGACTCCTTTCAGGTCGTCCTTAGCGAGTTATTTTAGGTCGGATATAGAGGGTTCTTCAGTTCGTATTTAGCGACTAATTTCAGGTCGTCTAGATCATATATAGCGACTCCATTTATCTCGACATAACGACTCTCTTCAGGTCGCCTATAGGACGTCATTTAGCTCTTCTATAGCGACTCCTTGCTCCTGCATCAGCTTGCCTATAGAGGCTATCAGTATCAGATTGTGGCTTCCAACTCCTCACTGACATAGTCTCTTCCGACCTGCAGCTCATCTATAAATAATACCTGATCTAATTAACCGTCTATTAATTCCTTCATTCTCTCCTCTCCTTACAGGACAAGCTATTATTCTCCTTGATTCTCAACATCAATCTAATGAAGGCGGAGGGTCGAATTGATAATAGCGAATGGATGTTTTTGCTCACCGGAGGTATTGGCCTAGATAACCCTCATAAAAATCCGACCAAATGGTTGGGAGTACAAAGTTGGAATGAATTATGTCGTCTAGCCGAATTGCAACACTTTAAGGGACTGCGAGAAAATTTCACCGAACATTTGGATGAGTGGAAAACATTTTTCGAATCGGAAATACCGCACAATTTCGAAGCACTACCCAAGCCGTGGGATAAAATGACAATGCTAGAAAAATTGTTATTGCTGAGGGTATTTCGTCCAGATAAATTGGTCCCGGCAATATTGCGGTTTGTCGCTCTCGAAATGGGAGAGAAATTTGTCGATCCACCACAATTTGATTTGGCCGCTTCGTTTGGAGACTCCCACTGTTGTATACCGTTGATATTTATTTTAACACCTGGCTCGGATCCTACAGCGACCCTTTTGAAATTCGCCGATGAGCAGGGATTTGGTTCAAATCGTTTGTTCTCTTTGTCGCTGGGTCAAGGTCAGGGACCCATTGCTGTGAAAATGATAGAGGAGGGCATTAAGCAGGGCAATTGGGTGGTTCTACAAAATTGTCATTTGGCAAAGAGTTTTATGCCCACCTTGGAGAAAATCTGTGAAGGAATGGTGCCGGATTCAACACATCCCGATTTCCGTTTATGGTTGACATCCTACCCTGCGGATCATTTTCCAGTTGTTGTTCTACAAAATGGCATAAAAATGACCAATGAACCACCCAAAGGCCTGAGATCGAATATTATCAGATCTATGTTATCGGATCCCATTTCCGATCCCGAATGGTATGAATCGTGTAAACAAAGTCAAACCTTTAAACAGCTGATCTACTCGCTGTGCTTCTTCCATGCCGTCATACAAGAGAGAAGGTACTTCGGACCGATTGGTTGGAATATTCCCTATGAATTTAACGAAACAGATTTGAGAATAAGTCTGATGCAATTGAAAATGTTCCTCGATCAGTATGAAGGTGTGAATTATGATGCCCTGCGTTATCTGACCGGAGAATGTAATTATGGTGGCCGTGTCACAGATGATTGGGATCGTCGAACATTGAAAACCTTACTTAATCGTTATTATTGCCCTGAAGTTTTGGATATTGAAACTCCGTTTTTTTTCGATGATAAACAGATTTATTACATTCCGGTGTATAAAGAGGTGGAGAACTATTTGAATTATACGAAGGAGTTGCCACAACAAACTGTGCCAGCCATATTCGGGTTTCATGCTAATGCGGATATTATGAAGGATCAACAGGAAACAGATATGCTGCTGAGTCATACGCTGCTGACACAGGTGAGTGGGAGAACAATAACTTTTAACATATAAGACCATATAGACCAGAAAATTTAGAATAACGATCGACTATATTGACTCAATTCAAATAATCTATAGAGGCCCTCAGATCGTCTGTAAATCGTCAACTCACTTCAGTCAACAGAGACTCCCTTCAGTTCGTCTATAGAGACTCCCTTCAGCTCGTCTATAGAGACTCCCTTCAGCTCGTCTATAGAGACTCCCTTTAGCTCGTCTACAGAGACTCCCTTCAGCTCGTCTACAGAGACTCCCTTCAGCTCGTCTATAGAGACTCCCTTCAGCTCGTCTATAGAGACTCCCTTCAGCTCGTCTACAGAGACTCCCTTCAGCTCGTCTATAGAGACTCCCTTCAGCTCGTCTATAGAGACTCCCTTCAGCTCGTCTATAGAGACTCCCTTCAGCTCGTCTATAGAGACTCCCTTCAGGCTCGTCTATAGAGACTCCCTTCAGGCTCGTCTATAGAGACTCCCATCAGCTCGTCTATAGAGACTCCCTTCAGCTCGTCTATAGAGACTCCCTTTAGCTCGTCTATAGAGACTCCCTTCAGCTCGTCTACAGAGACTCCCTTCAGCTCGTCTACAGAGACTCCCTTCAGCCCGTCTATAGAGACTCCCTTCAGCTCGTCTATAGAGACTCCCTTCAGCTCGTCTATAGAGACTCCCTTCAGCTCGTCTATAGAGACTCCCTTCAGCTCGTCTATAGAGACTCCCTTCAGCTCGTCTATAGAGACTCCCTTCAGCTCGTCTATAGAGACTCCCTTCAGCTCGTCTATAGAGACTCCCTTCAGCTCGTCTATAGAGACTCCCTTCAGCTCGTCTATAGAGACTCCCTTCAGCTCGTCTATAGAGACTCCCTTTAGCTCGTCTACAGAGACTCCCTTCAGCTCGTCTATAGAGACTCCCTTTAGCTCGTCTACAGAGACTCCCTTCAGTTTGTCTACAGAGACTCCCATCAGCTCGTCTACAGAGACTCCCTTCAGCTCGTCTACAGAGACTCCCTTCAGCTCGTCTATAGAGACTCCCTTCAGATCGTCTATAGAGACTCCCTTCAGCTCGTCTATAGAGACTCCCTTTAGCTCGTCTATAGAGACTCCCTTTAGCTCGTCTATAGAGACTCCCTTTAGCTCGTCTTTAGAGATTCCCTTCAGCTCGTCTATAGAGACTCCCTTCAGCTCGTCTATAGAGGCTCCCTTCATGTCGTCTATAGAGTCTCCCATTAGGTCGTCTATAGAGACTCCCTTCAGCTTGTCTATAGAAACTTCAATCAGACTCCTTTCAGCTCGTCTATAGAGACTCCCTTCAGCTCGTCTATAGAGACTCCCTTTCAGCTCGTCTATAGAGACTCCCTTTCAGCTCGTCTATAGAGACTCCCTTCAGCTCGTATATAGGCACTCCCTTCAGCTCGTCTATAGGCACTCTCTTCAGCTCTTCTGTAACAACTCTCTTCCGTTTTCTATTTCCATTTCTTCTGGTCGTTTGCGGTCTTGACTCTACATTGATTTTTTCTGAACAATACAACATTAACCTATACACACTTTTCAATTCACAACAACAACAATTTTTATATTCTGACATGCATAACAGGATCGTGTGGTAAGTTTTTCTAGGTCAATATAACAGTTCACCCACATCAATAACAACATTTTCCTCCAACACAATTCCCACTAGGATCTACATGAAAAAAGGGTAAGCTTTCACTTCCGCACTCTTCCAACTTGAAGAAAAAATCTAACCCCCAATGCCTTCTTTACATTCTAAACATGCCACGTCATCCGATCACACACCCTACAGTTACTACAAAAATCTCAGCCGCATTACATTGAGACACTATCGAAACGTTTTCCCGAAAATCTACGTCTACCCGATTGCCCGACGTCACCTGAATTTATATCTCTCTACTATTTACATAAGGATACATCGGAAGCCGCAGATGATGGTGGTGAGGGGGCCAGCGAACGTTTAACACCTGAAGAAGTTGTCATTAATGTGGCCACAGATATTTTGGATCGCCTGCCTAAGGATTTTGATCGTGATGCGGCATTGGCCCGTTATCCGACAAGTTATCACCAAAGTATGAATACGGTATTGGTGCAGGAAATGGTACGCTTTAATGTTTTGCTGCAGACAATACGTTCGAGTCTCATCACGCTGAGGAAGGCCATAAAGGGTAAGTCAAGTAATTTTATTTTGTTTTTGCAAAATAGTCAGGCTTAATCCCAGTTTGTTGTTTTTATAAAAAAAAAACAACTATTTATTAGTGGGAATGTATGGCATTGTCAGCCGAGGGGTAAGGCAGGGAAGACTTAGTTTCGGATCTCGCCAAAAGTCCCTTAGTTTTTTGTTGGGATATTCTCTGAAGCTATTAATATTCCTTACAAAAAACCTTTCAAACCCAAATGTCTCTTGTGACAATTCGAAGTTCTTACGTTACCAGCGATACGACCCCAATGAGAACTTCGTTTCGTTGGCGCCTGACTTCGTGGTCAACAAGGCAATTACAAACAACTACAATACATTTTCCACTGCTATGTGTCGTCACTTTGTGAAAAAAACGTATGGTATTGCTAGTTAAAGCAAAAACCAAACAGTATGACCGTGCCTCGTCTCAACTTCAGTAGTGTTGGCGGGTTATTTGGGATACCATTTGTATTTTGTTTTTGCAAAATAGTCAGGCTTAATCCCAGTTTGTTGTTTTTATAAGAAAACAACTATTTATTAGTGGGGAATGTATGGCATTGTCCGCCGAGGGATAAGGCAGGGAAGACTATAGTTTTTTGTTGGGATATTGTCCTCAGATGATATTTATATCTTCATTAGAAAAAAACCTTTCATACCCAAATGTCTCTTGTGACAATCCTAGTCCCAGCTACTGAAAAAACGGTCATACTGTTTGGTTTATTGCTTTAACTAGCAAAATCAACAACGTTATGTGCATTCGTCACAAAGTGACGACACATAGCAGTGGGAAAAATATGCCTTGTTGACCACGAAGTCAGGCGCCAAAAATTCTCCGTACGCTGGTAACGTAAGAACTCTCACAAGAGACATTTGGGTTTGAAAAAATATTAATAGCTTCTGGGGAGAATATCCCAAAAAAAACTAAGGGAACTGATGAGGATCCACGAAACCTCTCCTACCCCTCGGCTGACAATCATTCCCACTAATAAATAGTTGTTTTTTTATAAAAACAAAAATATGCCTTATTTTGCAAAAATCAAAATACAAATGGTATCAAATAACCCGCCAACACTACTCAGACAATTTTTAGGAGCAAATTGAATAAAAAATCCCTATTATCTGAAAAAATATGCCTTAAAAAATCCACGCCTCTCCTAGTCCCTGAAAAAATATGCCTTAAAAAATCCACGCCTCTCCTAGTCCCTGAAAAAATATGCCTTAAAAAATCCACGCCTCTCCTAGTCCCTGAAAAAATATTCCTTAAAAATCCACGCCTCTCCCAGTCCCTGAAAAAATATTCCTTAAAAAATCCACGCCTCTCCTAGTCCCTGAAAAAATATTCCTTAAAAAATCCACGCCTCTCCTAGTCCCTGAAAAAATATTCCTTAAAAATCCACGCCTTTTCTAGTCCCTGAAATAATATTCCTTAAATAATCCACGAATCTTCTAGTCCCTGAAAAAATATTCCTTAAAATATCCACGCCTATTCTAGTCCCTGAAAAAATATTCTTTTATAGGGTACTTCAGTAAAAGGTGTACTGAATTTATTTAAAACAACAACAAAATATATTCAAATCAGTGAAAATAGTGTTCATGTTTAATTCTCCTCCTCACTCTCTTCTTTTTCCTCCCCTTGACGTTCCATGGCCATTTCAAAGTTCGATGGTACCGGGACGGTAAATTTAACCGTGGGATCATAGGAAAATGCTACGGGTATAACACCTCCCACATCGTCATCACTATTATCTTCCTCATCATTGGTAGCTTCCGCCGGTTCAATTATTTCCTCCACTTTGGGTTGGTCATCAAAATGCACCTCAGAATCGATGTTTGTATGACCCACTTCTCTTGGAGTTGAGGGTTCTTCTTCAGCATTTCCTTCTTCGTCTGCTATTTGTTCTCCCTCGCTTTGATGGGAAGAGAAAATTTCTATTGAATGTTCTTCCATACCCTCCGCATGGGGACCTTCTTCGAAAATTTCCTCTTCCTTCACCAAACCGTCGTCCGATGAGGTCCTACAATAGGTCGGTGTCTTATCAAAATCCCAAACACTGGATATATCATGGGTACTTGGTATGGGGTGGACAATTGGTGGTTTATGTTGCGGCTGTGGTCTTTCATACTGGCCTATGGCCATTACAAATTGATCAGCTGATATTTTATCGGTATCGGCCAGCAGAAGTTGCTCTTCCTTCGCTAGGGTCCTGGTAATATCTTCAACATTAATCGGTGGCAATTCTCCTAGACATCGTATTTTACAATAATCTTGAGTACTGTTACGGCTTTCACCATCACCTGATGCATCGGAATAATATATTTCTCTCATCTGGGCACCACCTAAATCGAGGTAGGAAAATTTCTGATCTGTTTCCATCCATCCCTCTCTGTCCGATTCGATTATGGATCCCCTGGGTACAACTCTTTCGAAAACTTCATCCAAAAGGTCTTTGACATTTTCATCGACCATACGTTCGGTTGAAGTACGCCAACGTCTGCCAGGGACGGAATGGCGTAGAAGTTTTCTTAGAATAGTCCTGGCTTCTTTTTGGGCCTCAGTACACGAACAAAAGGCCGAACAATCACATTCCGAACAACAATCTGAAGAACTTAGCAGCAAATCGTTGTCAATCAACCGATCAACGAAATTTGTTGTCACCGCGAAGGAAATGTCATAGGGTTCCAATTCTTTATAGACCCTTGGCAAGAGGACCTCATTGATAATATAACGAACCGAATTATCCCTCTCCATGCGATACAAAAACTTCTCCACATCCGGTATGACAGCATCCTTTAAGGCATGTCTAAGTTGATGATAATTCATTGGTGCTTGTACATCCTGAAAGGAATTTAACCACGCCGAGAGCTCCTTATCCAACTCCCTGGCCAGGGCCACCACGTGATTTTCCACTTGCTGTTCCGCAAAATCTTTTATATCTTCCCTTAATATCGATTTGACAAAATTCTCAGCCATTTCAATATTTGTTTGATTGCATTCCTGATAGAGCTGCTCATAAGTTTCACGCAGGACATTCTCCTTTTGACGCAGACCAGCCTCGGCAGCTTCCCGATGCCAACGTTCTCGCTGGGCCAACATGCTATAGAAATGCAATTTTCTTTGCTCTTTGAGGCGAATCATTTCCTCGGAAAGAAAACGCATTAACCATCCGATGGTATTGCCTTCATAGGCCTGGATTAACACTTCGAATTCCTCCTGTCCCATTTCCCGCTTAAGGTGTTCGCGTAATTGGCGTTCGTTTTGTTTTTCCTGACGTACCTCATGTAAATAATCTTGATATTCTTGTTCTTCACGTAATCGGCGAATTTCAGAGTCTTCGGTAGAACTTTCTTCCATTGGGTATTCATAGGCAGCTACTTCATTTGTAATGGTGACTCTTGTGCTGCGAGGTGAAGGAACTTCTGGAGATGTTGGGATAATAGATTTTTCTTTGGCCCTGAGGCAAAGGGGAGTGGTCTTCTTCTTGTTACCAGTTTCACGAAGAACCTAAAAGAAAGTAAAAATCGGAATATTTATCAGAGGACTGAAATAAAAGTCGATTTTTTAAAAGAATATTTATTCCAGGACTATAAAAGGCGTGGATTTTTAAAGAGCTTTTTTTCAAGGACTTTCACAGGCGTGGATTTTTAAAGAAAATTTTTTCAAGGACTCTCACAGGCTTGGATTTTTAAAGAGCATTTGTTCAAGGACTTTCACAGGCGTGGATTTTTAAAGAACATTTTTGAAGAGGACTATCAGAAGCGTGGATTTTTTAAAGAATATTTTTGGAAAGGACTATCAGAGGCGTGGATTTTTTGAAGGATATATTTACAAGGACTATCTGAGCGTGGATTTTTTAAAGGATATATTTACAAGGACTATCTGAGGCATGGATTTTTAAAGGGTACATTTTCAAGGTCTATCAGTGTCGTGGATTTTTAAAGGATATATTTTCCAGGACTATCTGAGACGTGGATTTTTAAGGGATATATTTTCGTGGATTTTTTGAAGGATATATTTACAAGGACTATCTGAGGCGTGGATTTTTTAAAGGATATATTTACAAGTACTATCTGAGGCGTGGATTTTTTGAAGGATATATTTACAAGGACTATCTGAGCGTGGATTTTTTAAAGGATATATTTACAAGGACTATCTGAGGCGTGGATTTTTTAAAGGATATGTTTACAAGGACTATCTGAGGCGTGGATTTTTTAAAGCATATATTTATTTAGGGCCCATCTGAGGCGTGGATTTTTTAAAGAGGCGAGGATTTTTATAGGATGTATTTTCAAGGAATATCAGAGACGTGGATTTTTAAAGGATATATTTTCAAGGACTAAAGGATACATTTTCAAGGACTAAAGGATATATTTTCAAGGACTAAAGGATATATTTTCAAGGACTAAAGGATATATTTTCAAGGACTATCAGAGACGTGGATTTTTAAAGGATATATTTTCAAGGACTATCTGAGGCATGAATTTTTAAAAGGTATATTTTCAAGGACTATCTGAGACGTGGATTTTTAAAGGATATATTTTCAAGGACTATCTGAGGCATGAATTTTTAAAGGGTATATTTTCAAGGACTATCTGAGACATGAATTTTTAAAGGGTATATTTTCAAGGACTATCTGAGGCGTGGATTTGTTAAAGAAGATTTTTTCAAGGACTTTTACAATCGAGGATTTTTTAAAGACGATTTTTTCAAGGACTTTTACATTCGTGGATTTCTTAAATACGGTTTGTTCAAAGACTTTTACAATCGAGGATTTTTTAAAGAAGATTTTTTTCAAGGACTTTTACAATCGAAGATTTTTTCAAGGACTTTTACAATCGAGGATTTTTTAAAGAAGATGTTTTCAAGGACTTTTACAATCGAGGATTTTTTAAAGAAGATTTTTTTCAAGGACTTTTACAATCAAGGATTTTTTAAAGAAGATTTTTTCAAGGACTTATACAATCGAGAATTTTTTTCAAGAATATTTTTCCGGGGCTAATACAAGGCTTGGATTTTTAAAGATTCATTTTTAGGGACCAATGCAAGGCGTGGATTTTTTTCAACAGTTTTACTCACCCTCAAACTTTCATAGAGTTTCCTTAGATTGCTTTCCGAACAGAAGTTTTGTTCAACCTCCTGAACTAGCTCTTTGGGTTTGGCCCAAGAACGCAATTTAGCAAATGGACATTTCAAGTTCCTCGGATCCATTTTAACAGTTTTCCTTTCCAAATCATCCATACGCATATCAAATCCTTTGCGAGAGCCAACAAAATGTCGTCTACCCGGATCAATGCCATGACGCATTTTGGGGGCATAAAATTCCGAAGTGGGATCACCAAATCCTTGGCTGATATGTTCCTTACGCCAATGACGTGGTTGTTTTTTGTGTTGTATTTCCAGACGACGCATTGCTCGATTAAATTCCGTTTCATTTTTGCGCAAAGCCTCCCTGCGGCGAGCTTCAATTCGAGCGTAACTTTGTTGTATCCTCAACTGGGAAGCAGAACGCATTTGCCGTTCACGTTGATCAAACATTCGTATGAGCAGTTCCAATCGTAACATTTGACATTCTTGTATATTTTCTTCCCGCTCCAACCAATGTTCCCATTCAAATGCTTCCAGGATATGGTCATGTCGAGGTAGTTTCACGTGTTCCTTCCTCGCCAGCGCTAATTGTTTGCGAAAATTCTCCTTCAAGGCTTTGGCAAAGGCCCAACGTTTACGAGCCCTTTCCAGCACTTCAACTTCATAGAGACCAGGTGGTCCTGTGCCCGGGAGAATTGTGGGTAATTTAAATAATTCCAGGCTTTCCAATTCGTCAGGGTCATTGGAGACGGCCGGCAGATAGGGTAGCGTTTGGGCAGATGATTCGCTGCAGGAGAGAAGAGGGGGGAAATTTCTTTGTTATTTGGTTTTTAGGGTTTAAAGGTAATTAAAATTTATGACTTTAGTATTGGCTGCCCTTGCCTCCCCCCACGTCGTCATTTTGCCATTTCACTATCTCGTGTTGCTCTTCCCCTCTTTTGGGGAATTTAAGGACTTTTAATGGGTCTTTGTTTAGTTTTTATGATTTACAATCAGTTCTCATATTTTTGCAGCATAACTTCCACTTGACTGAGTTTTACGCTTTGTTTGCTGACGTTTTGGTTGTTGTGGTTGCAGTAGTGAACGATAGGATGGACGGATGAATGGGTTTCTGATGCTGTCCTGACTGTTGCTGCTGAACTTCGGCAGTCAAAGTCAACTACAGGGAGCACCATCATGGTTCTATCTCCACTTAGTTGGGGATCGATGGGTGTGTAGCAGTCATTTTAAATTGTAAAGCATGCTTATGTATGCGTATGAGTATCACAATGTATGTGTGTGAAATGTTGTTGTTGCTGTTGTCGTCCTCTTTGTTGTATCTGGGTAATTATGGAGCTTCATTAAACATTATCTTTTAGTTTAATGGCCATTCGCATCACAAAGAGATTGCAGATAATGTCGGGCGAAGTGATGCGACTAGCAACGATGCTGAAGGTTGATGGTGGTGGCGGTTTTCCCTGTTCACTGTTGTAAATCATCACAAGTTATACATCTGTGTGTGTGTAGTTCGTCGTTTCGAAAAATTTTTTTCGGGGGTAACTTTTGAATTCAATTAAAGAATTCTCAACGGATGAATGCTTTCAAATACCAAAGAATGCCATTAAGCAGGGCAGAAGTGTTGAAGGGGTGGGTGAGGTAGCGGAGGGTTGTGGGATATTAAATAGAGACAGGGTAATAGGCATTCATATTAAAGAAGAGTTTTGTTAATGTTTATCTAATAAGTTTGTTTGCAACTTGTCTTCAAAACTTTGTGCAACGAAGGGGTTGGCAGGATAACCCCTTAATGGGGATGGGAAAATTTGAAGGATGTGAACGGAATATTTTTGGGGAAATTTAATTGCAGAATTTGTTAAACAGATGAAAATTAATCAAGGATTATGAAAGGCGTGGATTTTCCAATTTCAATTCAAGGATTTTTTTGTAGAATATTTCCAAGCTCCAAGAAAGGCATGGAGTTTAAAAAATATTTGTCGGGGCATATCGAAGACTTTGTTTAATAATATTTTTAATGTCTATTTTTGAAAGCCTTTCAAAAGCGTTGATTAAAAAAAAACATTTTTAAAGCTCCAACAAAAGGCGTGGATTTTTTTTTTAATTTTTTTTTTCAAATTTAAACCAGTAAGGAAAGTACTAAAGTCGGACTGGGCCGACTATATGATACCCTTCACCACTTTGGGTATAATGTACATACAGTGGCTCCATCGAATAATCGGACAAGTGGTTGTCAGATATAATAATGCTATACATTTCAGAAAAAATGTCTAAATGTGTAGTTTTTTTCGCTTGTATTTACACATTACTTACTTATATTTCTGAACAATACAAAAAACAACAACTTTTCTAGTGATAACAGTAAATTTCGTCAGAAAAACAAAATTAACTCAATTTATTGTGTTCAACGCAAAATCGGACAAAGCAAAGTATCAATGTAAAAAAATGAAAAAATCGAGAAATTAATATTTAGTTGCATATCCTTTTTTGTCCAGAACGGCCTGTAAACGCTTCGGTATTGATTTGACCAAATTCTGGCATACCTCCGGCTCTTTAGAGTTCCACGATTCCAGTAAAGCCACCTTAAGCTGTACTAAGGAGTTAATTTTTTTCCATACACTTTCCTAGCTAATTCTTCCCAAAGATGCTCAATTACGTTAAGGTCTGGGCTCTGTGCTGGTGTTTGTATAAGTTTTGGGCAGTTATGGATCAACCAAAGCTTTGCAACACCTGATGTGTGCTTGGGATCGTTGTCTTGATAAAAGGCAAAGTTGTTCGCGATACCCAATTTGTCTGCACTTTGCTTTACATTTTGTTTTAAAACGTTGAGGTAGACAAAATTGTCCATTTTACCATGAATAAAATGCAAATTGCCTACTCCCGCACTCGACATGCAGCCCCAAACCATAACAGAACCTCTTCCGTGCTTAACAGTGGCTTTTGTATTCTTATGATTAAATTCAGCATTTGGCTTACGCCACACATATATCTTTCCATCTGACCCGTGCAAGTTAAATTTGCTTTCGTCAGTAAACAGAACCTTAATATAATGATAACTATCAATAGAAATGTATTTAAAGATGATCTATCATCAAATTACCTGCTTCCAAAAACTTCTGGTTTTAGTAAATACTCCTTTTGTCCGATTATGCGATGGAGCCACTGTATGTATCCTAACAATTGCATGTGTATGTTCCCTCTTTCTCCATCCTATCCTAACTTTAATTTCATTGGAGCAAATTTAACGTGGGGAAAATTTATGGAAAACGATTTATAGCAAAATTGATACATCATATTCGGTACGCCGCGATGTTTAATTTCATTGGAGCAGATTTAACGTGGGGAAAATTTATGGAAAACGATTTATAGCAAAATTGATACATCATATTCGGTACACACATCTTTCTAGATTTAATTCAGTACGCTATGTCAAATTTCGTGCAAATCCAGGGATATATAGGGACCTTGGTGTATCATTTACATAAAATCGGACGAAAAAAATATATATGGGAGCTATATCGAAATATGAACCGATTTTCCCGAAACTCACCACTCATCATTCCAGACTCAATTTAGTACGCTATGCAAAATTTTGTGCAAATCGAAGCATATAAATGTACTATTTGGGAGCTATATCTAAATCTGAACCGATTTTCACAAAATTTAACACACATCGTTCTAGACTTTATTAAGGACGCTACGCCAAATTTCGCGCAAATCCAAAAATATATAGGGACTTTTGTACACCATTCGGATTATAAATGCGACCTGTACTTTGTTTACAATTTAACATGGTCAGACAGACTCAGAAAGTGATTCTATGCATATTCTCAAAAGGAACCATGTGTCTATCTCGTTTCCTTTTGCCTGTTATAAACATATGCACAAAGACATAATACCCTGTACCACAGTGTGGTGAAGGGTATAAAAAATATTTTCAGGACATATCAAAGGAGTTGATTTTAATACCCTACACAACTATGTTGTCAGGGTATTCTAGCTTTGTGCCCCAAGAGTTTAAGTGTACCGATCGTCATATCTCGACGAGCTGAGTCGATCTAGACATGTGTGTCCGTCCGTCTGTCCATTATAATTTGTAAACACGATACAGGGCACAGTTATGGACCAACCTTAACGAAATTTTGCATGTAGGATTGGCTCAGGCGAATGAAGACCCCTATTGTTTTTGGTAAAGAGCGGTTAATATTTAGGGGATGAAATATACCTAAAAATTTATTTTTGTCTGATTTTCTGGTCGCTCTAGAGGCCGCTATTATGGCATAAACATCGTGGCTTTTTACATGGAGAAGGGGATCGGGCCAAAGAATAAGCATGCCAGTTTTGATAAAGATCTGTCAGTATTATTTAGTAACCCATTGCCATACTATAGGGCGAAAATATAGCGCTGGTCGCTTTGAAATTTTCCATGAGGATTCTGGTATGGTCAAGGACAACGCCTATATTTTTTTGTGATGATCCGATAATGATTTTCGAATGAAGTGGACCGAAAACTTATTTTTTCTGTTTCTTAAGTCGATCTGTAGGTCACAATTGAAAGCCGAACATCACAACACAACCCACGGTGAAGGGAATCTGGACAAGTAGTTAGAAGGGATGTACTGAATAATAGTAATAATTGTCGGCCTCTAGTCGGATAAGAGGGTGCAAATATCGGGAAATATTGTCCAAGCTCAGTATATAGAACCACACAAAGTTAGATTTTCCTGGAAGTTGTGTTGGGTATCATATGGTCGGCCCCGTCCGACTATACTGCTCCACTCACTGGTTAAAAAATATTTTCAGGGCCTCTCAAAGGCTTAGTTTTTATAAAAATATTTTCAGAGCCTCTCAAAGGCGTTGGTTTTTTAACATTTTTTTCAAAGACCCAACAAATGCATTGATTTTTTACCAAAAAATATTCAAGTCATTTGTTGATACTTCAAGTCATTAGTTGGGCTTGGATTATTTAAAAAATATTTTTCATGCGTGGATTTATTAAAAACTATGTTTCAGGGCCTATTAAGGCGTATATTTTTGTAAAAACTATCTTTCAGGACCTATTAAAGGCGTAGATTATTTAAAAGGTATTTATTAGGGCCTATAAAATGCGTGGATTTTTAAAAAAATATTATTCGGGTCTTAAATATTATATAATATTATATATATATATATATTATTCAGATCCTACCCAAGGCGTGAATTGCTTAAAAATATCATTCAGGTCGTATGCTAGGCGTGGTTTTCTTAAAATATAATCCAGGTTCTATCCAAGGCGTGGATTTTTAAAAAATATTATTCAGGTCCTATACAAGCTATGAAAGGCGTGGATATTTTAAAAAATATTATTCAGGTCCTATACAAGCTATGAAAGGTGTGGATTTTTTAAAAAAAAATATTTTTCAAGTACTAATAAAAAATATTTTCAAGACCTAGAATTGGCGTGAATTTTTTAAAAAATATTTTTCAAGTACTAGGATAGGACTGTCCGTGTATTTTTTAAAAAATATTTTTCAAAACCTAGAATAGGCGTGGATTTAAAAAAAAATCATGTACTAGGATAGGACTGTCCGTGCAAGTTTTTAAGAAATATTTTTCAAGTCTTATCCAAGGCTCTGGTTTCTGAGGTTGTTGTTCAAGAAAAAAAAAACCGAAGCTCACTTCACTGATAAAAAAGCGAAGTTTATGAGACCTAAAAATCCCTCTTTGCCTTTAATATTTAAAAAATCTCTAAGAAAACTTTTCTACCCAAAGCCAATATTTCCACAAATCCTTTAATGTCAAACTTTAATATCCCTTTTGTAAACGAAGAAAAAAACAACACTTTTTTAAATTGTTTCGAACATAGCCACTCTTCACTTAAACTCATTCTCTGCACTTCTATTACAAAGTCTCTAAGAAATTTATAAAATGGAAAAATAAATATAAGTACAAAAATGGCTTGGGGCATACCAGTCAGTCATCATCAGCACCATCATTATCTTATCTGTCATCAACAGCAGCCATAGTTAAATAAAAAAACAACAGCAACAACATCGAAAACGGGTACAGAAAGAAAAGTATGTTCATATTTGTTAAAAACATTAGCTGATTTATCTATCATAAATCATTGTTACTACCCTGGATGAAATTTGCAGGGCAGGAGGGAGGAGAGGAAATTGGCGACCAACCTCTGTTTCGTTATTTTTTCATTCGCTACCCTTTCTGAATTGTTATCTGTATTTAAGGATATTTATGTTGTGTTGTTGAGAAAATTTAGTGCTTCGTATTTAACCCCTAGTTTGCTAATGGTTCTAAGAGATGTGGAACGACTCTCAGTGAAATTCTAAAAGCATAGAGTCTATCATAAGTATTTTGCGGATTGAAGTCCTCCCAGAAGTCTACTATAAACTTAAGCATTTCCAGAGACATTTTATAGGTATATATGGTATATTATAATTATTCTGCAGACTTCTTAGAGGTCTACTACAGACTTAAGTATGGGTATAAGTACATTACCCAATGTGTCCCCTTATCACATTTATAGGTTAGCTTTTGCTTTCTCAATTTCTACTTAATTTTCCCCCAAAAAAACCATGAATAATGTACTTACCGATACAATGACTGTGTGCCACGTGTCTTCCGACTGGGTGGAATCGCATTTCTTTGTGATTTCTTCAGCTGGCATTGATGATGACTTTTCTTCATTTCCTTCATTGAAAGGCTGATAACATTGACCTTTGGTTTTGGCTGAAAGTAATTCATTCCCGGTGCTTTGACTTTACATTGACTGGGTGATATTGAAAGCAGTTTATCAAGTTCCTGTTGGCCACGAGTTGCACCTGGATATTATATGAAGAGAATAATAAATTAAACAGGAATTCATATAGATTTTAAAAAATATTCTTTAAAAAATCCACGCCTTTGATATGCCATGAAAAAAAATATTCTTTAAACCAGTAAGGAAAGTAGTAAAGTCGGACTGGGCGGACTATATGATACCCTTCACCATTACATGTTTATTGTACATATGTGTCCTAACAATTCCATGTCGTGTCAACCTATGCTAAATTTAATTTCAATCAAATTAATGGAAATCGATTTATAGCAAACTTGACAAACGCGACTAAGTATGCCGCATTGTTCAAAATATAATCTCAATCAGACACCGGTTCGAAATATATAATGTACGTTGTGCAAAATTCCATGTCAATCGGACACACATTAGAAGTTTGGCGCTCCATTTACCTAAAATCGGACTAAAATATATATGTGGGACCTTTATCTAAATCTGAATCGATATTCTCGAAACTTAACACACATAATTTTAGACTCAATTTAGTACGCCATGCCAAATTTCGTGAAAATCTAATGATATATAGGGGCTTTGGTACACCATTTACATTAAATCGGACAAAAATGTATATAAGAGCTATATCAAAATCTGAACCGATTTTCACGAAACTTAACACACATAATTCTAGGCTTAATTCAGTACTCTATGCCAAATTTCGTGCAAATCGAGAGATATATAGGGACTTTGGTGCTCTGTTTACATTAAATCGGACAAAAATGTATATGGGAGCTATGTCAAAATCTGAACCGATTTTCATGAAACTTAACACACATAATTCTAGGCTTAATTCAGTACTCTATGCCAAATTTCGTGCAAATCGAAGAATATATAGGGACTTTGATGCAGCATATACATAAAATCGGACAAAACTATATATTGGAGCCATATCTAAATCTGAACCGATTTTCACGAAACTTAACATATGTAATTTTAGACTCAATTCAGTGCGATATACCAAAACTCGTGCAAATCAAAAGATGTATAGGGTCTTTGATGCACCATTTACGTAAAATCGGACGAAAATATATATGGGAGCTATATCTATATCTGAACCAATTCTCACGAAATTTGGCACACATCGTTCTAGACTTAATTCAGTACCCTATGCCAAATTTCGTGCAAATCGAATGATATATAGGTACTTTGGTCCACTATTTCCCTAAAATCGGACGAAGATATATATGGAGCTATATCTGAATCTGAACCGATTTTCACGAAACTTCACACACATCACTCTAGGCTTAATTTAGTCCGCTATACCGAATTTCGTGCAAATCGAAAGATATATAGGTACTTTGGTGCACCATTTACCGTAAATCGGACGAAAATATATGGGAGTTATATCTAAACCGATTTTCTCCAATTTCAATAGGGTTCGTCCTGGGGCCGAATATGACCTGTGCCAAATTTCATCCAATTCGGATTTTAAATGGGACTTGTACTTTGTTTACAATTTAACATGGGCAGAAAGACGGACGGACGGATGGACGGACATGCATAAATCGGCTTAGAAAGTGATTCTATGCATATTCTCAAAAGGAACCATGTGTCTATCTCGTTTCCTTTTGCCTGTTACAAACATATGCACGTAGAAAGGTGAAAGGTATTATAATCCACGCCTTTGATAGGCCATGAAGAAAGACTCTTTCAAAATTTTTCTTTCTTACCTCCCGATAATCTCCTGCCCCTAAGACTTCCACAGCTTTCCTGGCTATGTAGACTGCAATTATCCACCTGGCTCCTATCATTCGCCCACATTGCTGGGTCATGTTGTCCATTTGTATCGTAGATATTGGGTAAATTTGTAGTCGCAGTGGTAGAAGCAAACATATTTTCATAGTTGATTACGAGTTTATTTTTCGAAATCTTGTTATGATGGTCATTTGTTGTAGTTGTTGTTATTGGGAGTCTTATAGAATCCGTATTATTACCATTTGCCATCTTTGATATTCCACTATGGCCATCCGGCATATAATTTGCATTGGAATAGTTTGACCCTTTGGAAGGCAGCTTTACTGGGATTTCCTTAATTGGCATTTCTTACCATGGCCAAGATTGGCTAAATATTGATTCGTTAGATTTCTAAATGGTTTCTTGTAATCGGTTTCCTTTTTTCCTTTTCCCCTTTTTTAGTTGGTTGCCAACAATGAAGGGTATGGGTGAGGGAGATTGGCTTCCGTTTACTGCTTCCTTATGACCTTAATTTAGAGCTTTTTGCCAAATTAAAAGCCTTAAATGTCCTTCCGTTTGATCCAAATCCAATAAAGAATGTCCGTGGGGAAATAGAGAAAAAACACACACACACATGCACACACGTATTAAATATTTAAACTTCAATTTACTTTAATGACATTTTTTAGCATTTATTCTGTGTTTATTTTTTTCGTTTATCATTTGTCTGTTTTGTTCTGCCACTGTTGCCATCATCTCGTTTGACCTTCATAATTTTTTTAAATCTATTTTTTTCCTTCGGGTTTATTTTCAGGTTTGGTGGTAATGTCCGCTCAATACGAAGCCGTCTATAAATCCATTTTAATTAGCCGCATACCAGCAATGTGGGCAGCAAAATCCTATCCAAGTTTGAAGCCTTTGGGTGCCTACATTACCGATTTTCTGGGGCGTTTGTCATTTTTACAGGTAAGTGAAGATGGTCTAGGCGCATTTCACTTGGTTACTTGGCAACATTCGTTGTTTATTTGGATGGGTGGGTGGTTGGTTGTTTTGGTAGGTTCATTCAATTCATGTTCCATGCTTCCGCTCTCCCTATGCAAATTTGTCGATGGGTGAAAAAAGAGGGTGGGGATTGTAATTTGTCTGAAATGTAAACATGTTGGTTAATTAATATTGAATGACTTGTTTTTCCCTCCCAAAAGATTTATCACCATTGGCAGTGATATTCCCAGCAGGAAGGAAGCATGGGGATAAGAGAGCCTGCAGTGTCATTAATTATGGGAAAATTATAAACAACATGGGGGAGTACATTTTTAAGTGACATTTAAGATATAACAAAAAATAAAAAAATATTTTTAATACAATTTAATTGGATGTCCTCAAGGAATAAATTTAATATTCTTTAAAAAATCCACGCCTCATGTAGGCCATGAAAAATATTCTTTAAATATCAACGCCTTTGATCGGCCTTAATTTTTTTTTATCCAAGCCTTTGATAGGCCTTAATTTTTTTTATCCAAGCCTTTGATAGGCATTGAAAATATATTCTTTAAAAATCTACGCCTTCGATAGGCCTTGAAAAAATATTCTTTAAAGAATCCACGCCTTCGATAGGCCTTGAAAAAATATTCTTTAAAGAATCCACGCCTCAAGTAGGCCATGAAAAAGATTCTTTAAAAAATCCACGCCTTTGATAGGCCATGAAAAACGTTCTTTAGAGAATCCACGCCTTATGTAGGCCATGAAAAAGATTCTTTAAAGAATCCACGCCTCAAGTAGGCCATGAAAAATATTCTTTAAAGAATCCACGCCTCAAGTAGGCCATGAAAAATATTCTTTAAAGAATCCACGCCTTTGATAGGTCATGAAAAAAATATTCTTAAAAATCCACGCCTTGGATAGGCCTTGAAAAAAATTTTCTAAAAAATCCACGCCTTTGATCGGCCTTGAAAAAAATATTCTTAAAAATCCACGCCTTGGATAGGCCTTGAAAAAAATATTCTTAAAAATCCACGCCTTGGATAGGCCTTAAAAAAATATTCTTAAAAATCCACGCCTCATTTAGGCCTTGAAAAAATATTCTTTAAAAATCCACGCCTCATTTAGGCCTTGAAAAAATATTCTTTAAAAATCCACGCCTCATTTAGGCCTTGAAAAAATATTCTTTAAAAATCCTCGCCTCATTTAGGCCTTGGAAAAATATTCTTTAAAAATCCACGCCTCATTTAGGCCTTGAAAAAATATTCTTTAAAAATCCACGCCTCATTTAGGCCTTGAAAAATATTCTTTAAAAATCCACGCCTCATTTAAGCCTTTAAAAAATATTGCATCTGGCAACACCCTACCCTCGAAAAAAAATCACGCGCCTGAAAGTATGCTACAAATTTTATAATTTCTCAGTATGGCGTTGCCAGATGTGATTTTTTCTACATTTGTTAATTTTTGGCGGGCTACTTTCTATTTTATTCTGGGCGCCTGGTATTTTTGTGAAATCTGCCCAAAAATACACAAAACCAGGCGAAAGAAAAATTGTAACGTCATCACACAAATGTATGTCGGACGCATAGGGGCGTAAATAAAAACAAATAATATTTTTATTAGTTTTTTTTTTAATTTTTATTAAATATTTATTGTAAAAAATATACACATACATTTAAAAAGATATATAAAATATATGAACTTTAATAAATAGTTTTCTTGACAAATTAACAACCTACTTATTTGGCCTCTATTGTGTAGCCGCCCTTCCTTTGAGAATTTTATGGTTAAGAGAGCAGGCTAATTCCAAATGATATCATTATCCTCAATTTATTTGTAGATCGTTTTCGATTATCATCATACGGAAATACGAGCATTGTACAATTCACAACCGCACCTGAAATTAAAAATAAAATATAATTGAAATAAATGTATTTTTTAAGATAAAAAATTGGTTTTTATTTTAGTAATAAATACGAATTTCCAAAACTACCTCAGCCATGCACTGCAATAATAACCTTAAGTCCACATTTAAGAATTCCAGCTCTTTCCCGTCACCAAAATCCAAATTGTACCAAATATAGTACCATTCGTAGACGTAAGAACGAGTTTCTAAAACTTCCTCAATTATACACTGCAACAATAATTTTAATCATAAATTTCAGGATCCCAGCCCTATCCGTCCACATAGGTCCAATTTGTACCATATTTAGTACTTTTCGTACTTAAGAGTTCGAAGATCCAACACAATAACAGTAATTTTATTTTCAAATTTATGTTTTCCATCTCTATCCGTTCACTCATATCTAAATTTTACTATCTTAGTACCATTTAGAATAAATAATTACGCATTTTCAAAACTACCTCCACGTCTCAATCCTACAATTCTTCTACTTCTTTTAATTCCAAATAAAAAATGGACGCAAAACACTTTCAAAACAATATTGTAATAAAAAGTTCGGAAGTTCCCCTAATCATTGATGTAAATTTTATGAAAATCGGTTAAGTAGTTGCTGAGTTCTATGCATTTCAATTCAACGATGCTCCGAAATATACTTCCTATTCGATTCTGGGCGCCTATTACCCGAAAATGAAAATCACTCAAAAATCGGGCTTTTAACAAAGGCACAATTTTTCATAATGTCTGACGTTTTACAAGATCGATTTTTGTGGGGTTTTTCATTTTTAGGTAATAGGCGTCCAGCACCAAGCAGTAAGTATATTTCGGTGGATGGTATAATTCAAATTCGAATAACTCAGGAAATACTAAACCGATTTTTATACATTTTGCAGCAATGGTTAGAGGGAATTGTAAAGTTTTCTTGCATACTGGTATATGCCCGTCACTTCGTTGGCGAATGTGGGAAATATTTCTTTCCACAGAAAACTGCAACCTGAGTGTGTGGAATTTGGAACATTATTTTTTTCAAACATAGCCACCATATAAATGGTCCCGACCGATTAACGAAATTTGGAATGCCTACCAAATTGAAGCTATTCAAGCTTTCAAAGTACTAAATATGGTACAAATTGGACCTATGTGGACGGATAGGGCTGGGATCCTGAAATTTATGATTAAAATTACTGTTGCAGTGTATAATTAAGGAAGTTTTAGAAACTCGTTCTTACGTCTATGAAAAGTAATAAATGGTACTATATTTGGTACAATTTGGATTTTGGTGACGGGAAAGAGCTGGAATTCTTAAATGTGGACTTAAGGTTATTATTGCAGTGCATGGCTGAGGTAGTTTTGGAAATTCGTATTTATAGCTACGAAAAGCACAAAATTTGGTACAATTTGGACTTTGGTGAACAGGTAGAACTCGATTGTGATAGGTTTGGAACATGGGTACGAAAAATGCAGAATGTTACCAAATCTGGTACAATTTGGTTTTTAATGAACAGATAGAGATGGATTTTTTAAATTTGGTCTTACGATTACTATTTTGAAGCAGGATTGGGGTACATTTGGAAATTCTTACTTACGAGTACGAGACTTTGGACTTTGATGGAATAAAAATTCCTGTTAAAGAGTAGGCTAGATGCAGTTTTAGCAATTCCTACTTATGAGTATGAAATGTAGTAAATGGTACTAAATTTGTTGGATTTGGTTGAATCCGCGAATATTGATTACTGTTGATGTGTGCTATTGAGCTATGGAGACAACATTAGAAACTCGAATTTATGTGTACGAATAGTAAATAGAATGGAAAATGAACTAAATTTGAATTTGGGTAACGAAAAGAGCTGGAAACCTAAAATTTGGAATGTGAGTCACTGACGGAGAATTTAAAAGAGGTACCAACGGTTTTTGGTACTAAATTTTGTGGTGGTGGTATGGAGGTAGCTGAATGGAACTAAATTGGCACCTGTAGGTATCTGCTGAAATGTGTAATTGGTATTGTGATATATTTTTAATCTGTGTAATGGAAATAAGAAAGAAATTTCGTAAAATAGTGCTTATGTATATGAAGAGTACTAAATTATAATCAACCTGATATTAGATGTAGGAATAGAGGTGAAATTCAGTAAAATAGTACAACAAATTATACGGTATTCACGATTTCCATATGAAATATATATTTTTGTATTCCCTTTCCGCATACAAAGTAGCGGGCACTTTGCTATCATCTAATAAAACTTTAGAAATCTCTCGAACCATTGCTGCAAATTTTATAAAAGTCAGTTAAGTTTTCGTTGAGTTATTTGCATTTGAATTCAACGATGTTCCGAAATATACCTACTATTCTCTTCTGGGCGCCTATTCCGTGAAAATGAAAAATCACACAAAAATCAGTCATGGGAATTCGAACTGAAGACGCTTGACTGGGAAACAAAATACGAAATGCGTGTAAGCTGTTAAAAACAGTGTTGCCAAAAATATAATAGCTAAAAATCGACGTTTATAAGTGTCATATGTATTTTGTAATTTAAACTTCAGAATTTCCTTTAAACAATGCTGCAACTTTTATTAAAATCGGTTAAGTAGTTGCTGAGTTATTTGCATTTGAATTCAACGATGCTTCGAAATATACTTTCTGCTCAATTCTGGGCTCCTAGTACCTGCAAATGGAAAAACACACAAAAATCGATCTTTTAACAACGGCAAAGTCTGCATGCACAAACCAGACAGACATAGGTAGAAACTTTGCCGTTGTTAAAAGATCGATTTTTGTGGGGTTTTTCATTTTTAGGTAATAGGCGCCCAGATCCGAGCAGAAAGTATATTTCGGAGCATAGTAGAATTCAAATGCAAATAACTCAGGAAATGCTTAACCGATTTTTATAAAATTTACACCAATGGATAGAGGGAATTCTGAAGTTTTTCACATAATTAAAAATCGTACTATAAGAGACCGAAAAGTACTAAAATGTACTAAATTTGGTACAATTTCGTAGCATGTGAACGGAGAGAGCTAAAAACTTGAAATTTGGAATGCAGAACAAGGTTGTGAAGTGCGCTCGTTATGAATTTGGATGTATGTACT